AATAAATGTCTTTGAATCTATACCGATATAAGTAAATAATAAATAAAAATAAATGGGAGATAAGGGGCAGTTTTTTATTACAGAAGAATTCCAAATAATAAATGTGGAACTGAATGGAGAAAATTGAAACTCACCATTAGTAAACCACAGTATTAATTATTGTAGGCAAGATCACCAATTGATGCTAAAATTAGTCAGCAGATTTTTTTCTTTTCTTTTCTTTTTTTTTTTTTTTGAGACAAGTTTTTAGTCACTCAGGCTGGGGTGCAGTGGCAAGATCATAGGTCATTGCAGCCTCAAACTCCTGTGCTCGGGTGATCTTCCTGCCTCAGCCTCCCAAGTAGCTGGGACTACAGGCATGCACCACCATATGCAGCTAATTTTTAATTTTTTGGTAGAGACAGGGTCTTGCTATGTTGCTCAGGCTGGTCTCGAGCTCCTGGGCTGACATGATCCTCCTGCCTCAGCCACCCAAAGTGAGCCATTGCACCCAGCCTAGTGGGCAAATTTTTAAGCAGAGATAGGATATTTGCATAAACTCCAAGTATTTCCCTCAAGATATGTATTAATTGTGAAGAAAAAATGAGTAACTTAATAATGGAGAAAACTGGCAGAAACACTTTAAGCAAGTGAGCAAGGTTAATATCATTAGTCATAAAACATATCAGCATGACATACTCCCTGATATGATATGATATGATACACTGAGAAGAAACCACTTCCGTGATATCCTTGACAAAAATGTGTAACCTTAAATAATCATGAGAAAACACCAGGCAGACTCCAACTGAAAGGCATTCTACAAAATCACTTGACCAGAATTCTTCAAAAGGATCAAGGTCATGGAAGACAAAAAGAAAAAGAAGAAAGAGCTCTCACTGAAGGAGAGTAAAGAGACATGGCAATCAAATGCAAAGTGACATCTCTGGAAAAGAATGACTTTAATGGAAAAGCTGGTGAAATTTGAACAACATCAAGAATTTAGTTAATAGTAAAGTGATTAGAATGTGATTGCCATGCACTAAACTTTATAAATGTGATTGTGAATTAAAAGTAAAACACTAATTTACTGAATGTTACACATTTACATATGGTAGACCCTGAATTTTGACCAACATTATATGATCACTGAATTCTTCTTGTCTGCTTTTTGTATCTGGGGCATACTGATCTCATATAATGAGTTAGGAAAGAGTCCCACCTTTTGTTTTTTCCAGAAGACTTTACAGAGTATTAGAATTTTCTACTTTATGAATGTTCCTTGAAAACTATTCCAGCTAACTGTTTGTATTTGGAAGGAGAGGGTAGAACATTTTAAATCATGCTTTATTTCCTCTTTAGTAGGTATTGGTATATTTTTAATGATTTTTAAGAATCGGTCAGTACAGCTAAATATTCTATTTTATTGGTCTATGTGTTCATAATATTCTCTAACCTTCTCAATCTTGATATTATCTGCAGTTACATTATTTTTTTGTTAAATTCTTAATACTGCTCTTTGCCTTTTCCATCCTTTCCATAAACAATCTTGCCAGATATATGCTCATATTGTGAGCTCTTAGGAAAAGAAAGAAACTTTTTTGGCATTTTTATTTTCTTTTTGGTGTATTTGTTTTCAACTTCATTAATTTCTGTCATTTTTATTATCTCCTTTTATTCTTTGGCTGTGGCATTATAATGTCTTTCTTTTCTAGTTTCCTATGTTTAATGCTTAGCTCATTGATTTTAGCATCTCTTTCTTTATATATAAGCACATCAGATTATAAACTATCTTCTCGACTTAGTATCATTTTCTCTGCACCACGTTTTAATTTCTTTTCATTACTTTTTCAGTGGTAGGTGTTTTGTGACTTTTATTGTCTTCAAGTTTGTTACCTTTTAAAAACCATATGGAGTTATTTTTAATTTTCTTCTTTTTACATCTTCAAAAATATAAGGATTGAGTCTATCTTTTGTGTATTAAACTCTAACTTAATTTTAGCATGCTCAGATTTAGTAGATAGTGGTTTATCAAAATTAATTCAAACTTGCCTAATAACTTAGTGCTTGCTCGAGTTGAGTTAAATGCTTCACGCCTGCTTTAAAAGAATTTATATTCTCTAGATGGTACATTCAAGTTTTATATACATATTATCATATTATATGCATATTCATATATGTATATCATTCTATACATATTAATAAAATCATTCACATTCTGTCTTGTTACATATTCTATACATTTATAATTTTTTGTCTGGTTAATTGATCATTAATTTAAAAAGCATCAGTATGGCTCCTTTCCATATATGCTCTAGATTTGAGAATAAATAATAATGGTACTGAAGATTTTATCGGAAACCAGATTTTATGTGACTTTATAAACAAAATGAAATCAAGCACTTAACATTAATAATAAGTGCTTTCAGTGGGGCAATAATATCATTTTTTGCTAAGGAGTAACAAATCAACTTATTGAGGTGCTGTTTCTATAAAATTTAGCTTGTTTTTTAGAGACAGGGTCTTGCTCTATTGCCCAAGCTGGAGTGCAGTGGCAGGATCATAGCTCACTGCAGCCTCAAAACTCCCGGGCTCAAGCGATCCTCCTGCCCTCAGCCTACCGAGTAGCTGGGACTACAGGAGCTTGCCATCCTGCCCACTTTTTTTTCTTTTCTTTGTTTGTTTTTGTTTTTGTTTGTTTTTTCTGTAAAGGTAGGGTCTCACTATGTTGTTCAGGCTGGTCTTGAACCCTTGGGCTCAAGGGATTCTCTCACTGTGGCCTGCCAAAGTGCTGGGATTACAGGCACGAACCACTGCGCCTGACCTAAAATTTAATTTTTTAAAGAAAGTTCTTGCAGTAAGCAGGCTAGAGTTATGCTGTTCTGTGGTAGAATCACAGGGAAATAGGACTATATCAAAAAGAAGAGTATGCGGTTGCCAGGCAGACTTGTGTGGGAAATCTTTCATAAGGAGAGAAAATGTATTTGAGGTAAGAAAAGCATGTTGGAAAAATCCAAAAGAGACCAATGCTAGCAGGGAGACTGACAGGATGGAAGTGCTAAATTATGAAGGACCGGCCTATGGATGTTTTATTTCATCTTGTGTGCAATGGAAGCAATCAAAGACTTTTGAAGCACTGAGCAATTATTGATAAAATTAATGTTTTCAACAGGATAATATGCCTGCAGTGTGGACTAAGAGTATCTAAGAATTGATTGTATTTGGCCAAGCACAGGAGCTAGTAGATGACTTAGGAACCTTCTATCCAATATACAACATACAAATAATTTATCCACTATACAAATACTTATATAGTGGGTACTACACTCAAAGGAATGCAACGGGAACATAGTGGTAACAAAACACAATCTTTTTTCTATTGCCTGTTTTCTATTACACTCTTATGGTACATACAAATGAATAAGGAGATAACATAATGCCTAGCAATGGCACATGATAGGAACAGTGATTGGGAGCACTTTTCTCATTAAGGTAATTTTCAGTTAGGTTATTACTGAAAGCTTCTGAGGAGGTCCCAGTTGAACAGGAACTTGAAGGTAGCAAAAAAGGGAACCATTGGAATATCCGGGGGACAGGTATTCCAAGGAGAAGAATCAACAAAAGCAAAGAGAGCCAATAAGACAGTAGCAAAGGAATGAGTTGAGAGTTGCTTTCAATAGTGTATTACCAGAGATAGAGCAAAAGACGTAGAAAAATACGGGCTAAGAGATCAATTGTAGTATGATGGAAACTGAGTTCTAATGATGTCTCTTAGGAAATGACTTCCACAACTGAGTGGATGCACATGCCTACCTGCATGTGTGTCAGGGATGTCACAACAAAGTCCCACAGACCTGGTGGCTTAAACAACAGAAATTTATTTTCTCACAGGTCTAGGGGCTAAACTTCTGAAAACAAGGTATCTTATTTCTTCTGAAGCCTCTCTCCTTGGCCCCTAAAACCTTCAGCCCTTTAGAATACAATGCCACTTTCTCAGATTTGGTAAGCTGAATTATAATTATATGAGGGTAATGAGGAAGGAATTTTATGGGAGAGAAATGACATGAGAAAATATATAAAGTGATGTAAGAAATTAAGTTTTGACCAGAAAGCTCCAAAAGGTCCAGTTTGGTGCAAATCTTTCACAGAAGTGACTAAAAGCAAAATACAATAGGAAAAATATACTCAGGCAAGATCATGACTAGCTAAGAGGTTTAGACTTTATTGTGTATACTAAGGAGAATTACTTAAGGTTTATTAGCAAGAAGCTGCTATAATCAGAAGTGTGCTTCAGGTCGATTAATCCGTCAGAAATGTGTAGTTTATGATCAGGTGCTAAAACATAAATCTTGTTAGCACTTCTAGGTACATCAAGGGCTTAGATAAATTCTTGTTTTGTTCTGTAATGAAGGGAAATTTGTCAGAATTTAGCGTTTTTGCTCTGACACTGTGAAGGACATCTTTTATTTCTCCCATACACTATCCTTTGTTTCTGCTGTCACAAACAGAAATAGGATTCCTACCCATAATGGCTGATTTCATGGGATTTTGTAATGTTCTGCTCTACAACTGAAATAAATAACTAAATGTAGCGTAATAAAAACAATTAAATAGAAACATTCACGGTATATGCTGTGGTTTGTTGTGATTGTATAAACACACATAGGTACACATGATACTATTAGGGGTTGGTTGTCATTATTCATAACAATGCACAGACCAAAGCTCCCAAAGTCACACTTTTCCTGTTCCTAGACCTTACTTTAATGTTATCATATTATGTATATTCAACACTTGAACTAGTCCACGTTTAATGTAGAGTTTAAGATTTGTGATATTCTTTTTTTTATTTATTTCAGCATATTATGGGGGTACAGATGTTTAGGTTATGTATGTTGCCCTTGCCCCCCCGTGATATTCTTTCATATACATTTTTACTTTTGAATTTCTATTGAGAAATCTGTCTATACCTATCTCTCTCTCTCTCTCTCTGTCTCTGTTCTTTTCTTTATACTTTACAGACACTATCCATCTTCGGGTTCTTGAATCGTCCCCAGTTGGCACAGCCATTGGAAGTGTAAAAGCAACTGATGCTGACACTGGGAAAAATGCTGAAGTAGAATACCGAATTATTGATGGCGACGGAACTGACATGTTTGACATCATAACTGAGAAGGACACACAGGAAGGCATCATAACTGTGAAAAAGGTGCACAGCATCAGTACAAATCAGCATCTGTGTGTTTTAAGAGTAGAGGTGTCATTATGTACTATTCACTCATGCATTATCCATTAAGAAATGTCACCGTTATATTCAAAAACATAATTTTTATTGTGCAAAAATAAGAACATAAAGCCAAAGAGCTCCTTAAACATTTTGACCACTGTTTTTGTTGGTTGAAACATGAAATCTGAGATTTGACAAAATTTAAAAGGGAAGTTAATATATGTGTGATTATATTGCAGAGTTATGTTAATAAAAGGTGATCGTAATAGCATTGTTTAGTTAAAAAATATAGTTAATAGCTAATAATGGCAATATATATCATCACAGTGCATAGAAAGTGCCAAGCCATCTATCCAGATGTGTGAATCAATAATTAGAGTTACTAATAAAAGGGATGGCATAGATTGGAACATAATTTAATTATTCACATTTTCCCTTCTGCTATATAAATTAAAATTTTCTGCTAGCATATGCTCAGTGATACAATTTAAAGGTAACTAGTTTTTTACTGTAGAGTCAGTTTAGTACCATCAATATGAGATAACAATAAGGCACAGTAAAATTTAGGTTTCAGTGAAATGTCATACACAAAGTAATCACTGAGCCACTGATCAATAATAAAACTATCCTGAGATTCTCTTGCAAGGCACAAGGGACATAACCAACTGTTATTAAATGGACAGTGACCAGCAAATGGCAAAGCAGCTGCCTTGTTTTTCATGACCAGGTAGCAACGGTAATGCAAATAGAATCTGGTACTTCTCAGAATAAAAAAGAAGATTGAGGGAATTTGAGCCAACAATGTCTTTCACCTGTTAGCAAAGCATATTTTTTAAAGTGAGTGAGAGGTGAGGTACTTGATTTTATACTTGTGAAAGTTAAACTATATCAATATTTAAGGTCCTGTTTTTGTTTCATAATATAACCTAATTACCATACTACTATCAACATTTGTATCTTTTCTAATTACATGAGGTTTTCCTTATCTTGAATGTTTCATATAACTGTTGAAAGTTTTATATTAGTCTTCAAAATTTCATAGTTTATATAATACTATAAGCCTATTACATTGACTG